CTGCTGCATTTTGAAAAAAAAAAAATGTACAGCCTGCATATTTAAAAAGGCCTGTTGCCGGATTTGCTGTGTCAACTATAAGAATATGAGGGCGAGCAATGCTGTGTCTAAAGGTTCCAAGTAGATTTTTGGAGATTCTATATTTTCGAATAACTTTTCCACAGAGGAAGTTTCTGTAGGTTTTTGGCAAGTGCAACTTTTTTTTGTTGATTTTTGAAAAGAGATCACTGATTTCATGCTTTTACAACTGAAAATTTTCATCCTGCCACAAACACATTTTTGCATGCATATATTTAATTCAGGCAATAGCTGCCTAAGTTAAATCATTGACGACGCGCACCGGGCAGGCCTGTGCGATCATGCGTTTTGGCAGTATTTCGTGCTGTTGTAGGATCGCTTGGGGTTCCATTAGCTAAAATTTATGTCATGCTGGTTCTGGAAGTGCAGAAGGTTAATTGTACAACTACATGGTACTTGGTCTGCGAACATCCCCTCAAAATTTCAGTTTTCTGTCTTTTCTGGTTCCCAGCTTACCGATTTTCCCGTCGAAAAGTTTAAAGGGGCCGTACGTGGGAACTACACGCACTTGGCTGAATTTGAAATCCTTAAGTTCTATGTGGACGGGGGACATAACCTCAAAATTTCAGCTTTCTAGCTTCTCTGGTTTTCGAGTTAGCGATTTTCCCGCCAAAACATTCACTCGCCCGTATGCTCCTAAAGTGACACTTGGCTGAGGAATACACTGGCGGAATTTCGGCGCCGGAGCTTGCTTGGGTGCCGGGTTGAAATCGCGGACAGACGCATACACACACATATACATACACGCCGGAGTCGTCACAATATGCGACTTTGCATTTATACATCTGCAAAAACGCATAATAAGATAAATTTTGTCAATTTAATCACGGATAACGTACGGGACCAAACTTCAATTGTCTGTGTTTTAACGTACCAACTCGATTCATACTGAGGCGGTTTCATTATTTGCAGGCACTTTCAAAAGACAACCAGAAAAAATTTTAAGGTTTCAGTAAATTACAGCCATCGTACGAACTATGAGATTATCTTGGTACACTGCAGCCAGTTTTTGTTTCTAATCGTTCACACTTCCATTTTGCGCCCTTCCACAAAAAACTAATGAATGCATTTTCGTTTTTGGATCGCCAGCAGTGACTGCTTAATTGATGTCAATTTGATTTATCAGTGACAAGAAATCCGCAACAAAATTTCTGCTAATAAGTCATAACGATGCCTCTTCCGCTTTTACAGAGTGTGTTATCAAAATTCTTCCATTAAATATCACTCGTTGAACAAACTGCTGCAATTGTAACAGAGTGGGAAGTTCAAGCTGAAGTGGATCGACTTTCTGTCGTCGTCGCTGCTCTTCCCGCTATAGCCGTTTTCACCGGTACTATTTTTGGCATGCGGTAATTTCAATTTAAAATAAATACGCCTTCCTCTGGCATCACTATTTCTTTTATTTGCGTTGTTTTCTTGGATTTCGATCCCGTTTTTGTGGTCGTTCAATTTTGTGTTCCAGGAAATCCAAAAGTACTTCTTTTCATTGCTGTTCTCCTTGTGGCTATCTAGAATAGTGCTGTCGTCACTGATCACTTTAAACGGAATATTAGAATGGATGCACATGAGCTTTTCCTCATCACTGTTGTCAATTTCGTTAGTTTCCAGGCTTGCGGTGTTTTTGCTGGTATCGACAAAATACAGTTCAATCCAAACACGTTCTTTTTTGCCGCGGTTCTCCTCTTTACTGGGCTCGAATATTTTATTGCTGTTACTGGCATCACATTCTGAACCCCACTCAATGAAAATTTTCTCTCTGCTGCTGTCATAGACCTTGTTTTGGCTTTCAATAATGTTGCTACCGTTATAACAAGGAAAAACCAGAGAATAATGGATGGGGAACTTCTTTTTTTCAACGTTATTACTTCTGCCATTGTTGGAGCGATGTCTGTCGCTGAAAATAATACTGTAGGTACCGTACATTTTGTAAAAGCTGTCGTTGCTAGGCAATACCACAATTATATTGTTTTGAGTATTATTGTCAGCGCTGCTCCTTTCGCTGCATTTTCTTCTGAAACGGATGCTGATGAAAATTGTTGCATTTCTTCTGTCATACTGAGCGACGTTTTCAGAGATATTCGAGATATTGTTGTCGATTTTGTTGCTGTCATCGAATGGATAGTAGAAATGAATACAAAATAAATCCCCTTCATTATCGTTGCTGCTGCTGCCTTCATGGCTAGTTTCCAGGATGTTGTTACTACTGTTATTTTCACTAAGTATCATTTTGAAATGAATGTGAATGCTCTTCTTTTTATCATTTTTATCTGGGCTGCTGCTTTCGAGGATGCTGCTGCTGTTAATGTCGTCAGAGATTAACAAGCTCCAGCTGCATTCGAACGTCCGTTTTTTGCTGCTGTTGTTGCCTTTGCTGTTGCAGTATTTCAGGATATCTTTATCACTAAAGTTATGAAATGGAATGAAATAAATGCGGAAGAATTTCTTCTTGTTCTGTTTGATTCTGAGCATGTTAGCACTGCTTCTTTCGTCATTTGCCTCATATCCGCCAAAATAAATGCGAATGAGCCATGTGTTGTTTCTGTTGTCGCGACTGCTGTTAACGGAATTGTTGCTTTTGTTATGAATGGTATATACGTGATACCGGCTAGAAGTGATGTTGTTGTAGTTCAGTGATACTGAGTTTATTGTCGCCGTATTGGTTCCTAGCGATAATTTTGCCAGCGCAGCATAATGAATAAGGAATATGCAGAAAATTACAGCTGCTGTCATAATAGCCGAAAATTCCTGCAAAATTTTATCCTGAAAGGAAATGTCACGTCTTTTTTTCACGAGTTTCCAGATTCCATCGGTCGCTTATTTATGCATTTTTGCATATTTATGCAACTGCAAAAACGCATATTGTCGAGAGGTTTTCATTGCGTATACATGTATGTGTGTGTATGTGTTCGGAACCAAGTGAACTTTGTCACCTACTCTCAAATGAATAACCGCAGAAACTAGGGAGCAGAAATTTCACAAGGATGTTTTTAGCCCTATGCGATCCAAACAAATTAAATCAACATTTACGGGCGCTTGAAAAAACGTAAATTTTTGGCGTGGAAATATTTCGAAAGCCAGGCGGGATGGAAACCCCAAACTTCACGCGCATATTCTCAGCCTTATGAACAAAATATTTCAAATTCTACTATCAAGCACGTCCACATCTCGTATAGGGCGCGCCAAACTTGATAAGGATATTTGGAACCCAAATGGGGAAATGTGGACATAAAAAAAGATTTATCGCACGTCTATGTGGCGCAAATTTTCGACCGTTGTGCACCAACTGAAATCACTTCAAGCCATTACTCGCGTGTGTGGGCGTGGATGTGTATGGGTGTGTGTGCGTGTATGTGTGGGTGTGGTATGCATGTATGCTGCCTGAAAAGTTCAGCTGTGAAGTCATAAATGCTTAGATGCTAAAATCCTGTACGGCTTTAATCATTCACTGGATCTCATGAGTGAACTTTCAGGTCCCCTCGTATTTCCACATCCGATAATTAAACTCAAATTCCAGCCAATGCTTTTATTCCATACTTATGAAAGAGTTTCGGATTTTTGAAGCTTTGTGGTTCTCCAAACAATGTGAGCTAATAACCTATATTAGCATTTAAACTTCATTGCCTCCTGATCCACGTCCCCGAAATGAGCTGGCACTACACTTCGGGCTGGATAAATGACACAATCAACTGTTGAATGCGACGACGCACTCATCTACGTCTATCCAATTCACTCTGAGTTATAATTTCGAAACCTCAGTATTTATAATTTGCGAAGAAAAACAAGATTATCAGAATGAGATGCCACAGCTCCTTTGTATGCTGAATGTTTGCTAGATGTAGACCCGCTAAAGCCAATGAAAGTGCTACTATGCCGAATCTTTTATGTTCAAGTTAATTATTTATAAAAGCGAATGAAAAGTACTAAGGGATTTAGTGAGCACCAGCTATTATTTAGCCCCATCCTTCTTTTGGTCTCTGGTTAAACATGGGCATTTCCAAACCGCGATTCTTGGTGCATCCAGACAATTAAAAAAGATTAAATCGTGCTAAAAAAAGGTTATTTTTAAAACGTATGGTTTTCTAAAAACAGGAGTAAATGTGCATATTCATAAATTTTTCTGGTTATGAAAATAATTAGCAATGGCAGAAGATCAGGCAAGCGACAGGCCTATCAACAAGCCGCACGGCGAAATAGTCAAAGCAGCTGAAAAGTTGCCAGCCACATAGCCAGAGAGCTTAACTGTGAATTACAGCTGGTCTAGCAAATCCAGGTGTAGCAGAAAGTGCTAAACACTAACACTGCTTTGGAAGAATAAACATGCATCGCTCTGAATTCATAAAAAGCCACTGATAGGTCAGCCATGATAGAGTAAATGCATGAGTATGAACGAAGTTGCGCCTAGCATTCTTGTGAATTTCTGCACTTTTGAATAACTTTATTAGAAGGGATATTTTTTCAAAAAGAAAACAGTAGAAAGCACTTTACACGTTTTTATGATGGTCAAAAAAGCGGATTTTGGCACAACTGCATTTGTGTGTATAGCTATCAGGATAATTCAGTCAGCAAATACGTATGATAGACATTCTAAATTTTTATGCGTTTTTACGCGCAATTAATTTTTGCATATTAATGCTAATGCAAAAACGCATATTGTGACGAACCATAGTGTGTGAGTGTGTGTGTGTGTGTGTATGTGTGTATGTCTATTCAGGTACTTTAACTCTGCAACCAGGCACTATGGTGCTGAAATTTCGCAGTGTGTTCTCTGATTAAGAACGGCTCCAGGAACGTGATATCAAGTTTCAAGCACTTTTGTGCTCCACATTCGGGATGTGAAAATTTTGGCGAGAAAATTGCTAATTCGAGAATTAGAGAAGCTGGAAAGCTGAAATTTTAAGAGGATGTTCTTTGTCCACATGCAGTTTAAAGATTTCAAGTTCATTTCATTAAGTAAGCGTGGTTCTCACGCACGGACACATGACTTCTCAGCAGGAAAACTGCGGGCCTGGGAACCAGAAAGCTGGGTCATCTTCAGTAACGACCAGTCGTCGGAAACTGTTTATTTTCCTTCATACAAAATTTGCGGTAATGAGTGCACAAATAAAGTGTAAAACAACAACAGTTCGTACACATGATGACTAGAGTGATTCAAATTTCTTGCAAAACGCATGAACACCTCGGCAAGCCTGGTGCGTCGCAACTTAGGTTAAGGATAATGTCGCTGTTATTGATGCCCTCAAATGGACTACCAAAATAATTGCGAATGAAACTTTCCCTTTCGTTGCTGTTTTCGCTTATGGCTTTCAGGGTCTATTGCTGGCACTTATACTATGAAATACTGCATCAAAAAGTATGCGAATTCTATTTTTGTCGCTTTTTCCCTGGCTGTTGGTTTTAAGTTCTAAGCCAGTGGAAGTGAAGTTCTTTCTATTGCCCTTGCTGCTCTTAACAGTGTTGTTGCAATTCAGAATACCGAAATGGATGCGAATGAGCCTTACTTTAGCATTTCACTTGTTATGTTTGCCGTTGTTTTCCAAAATGTCGCTGCTGTTGTTTTTTTTTTGGTTCATTAATACATTCCAGTAAATCTTAATCAGCTTCTTATTGTCCATGTTATCCTTGTGGCTTCTTTTAAATGGAAAAATCAAATCGATGCAAACTAATTTCTTTTTATTGTTTCTGTTACACCGGCATTTTCAAAGATGTCGCTTCTGCTGCTGCTTTCCAGTAATTGACCTAAATCCACTTCGAACAATATATCTTTTACATTTCTTTTGGCATCCCGGCGATTGCTCTTGAGGCAGTCACTGCCGCTACTTCTGCTGCTCTCATTGTTATGCGTTTTTGCTGTGCAGCGCTATAACAGTGCTGTAGCGCTGCTACAGCCAGCAAAAACGCATATTGTCGAGAGGCTGTCTGTGTGTGTGTG